GGATATTAAAACAATTTAAAAACCATGTGGACATSTGTTTTGTAAACAAAGCTCCTCAACCAATGACAGCGTGTTAAATGTGTCAAGTGATGAAGACGAGCGTCAAAACACTCTGCAACAAGCGCTGTTCTGGATAAAAAAAACATACTTCGACGTTTCAAATCATTATCAAATTTGGAACAAAGGCAGATAAAATAATGTTCTTCATGCAGCTTATCTATTTAAGGGGTCACTAGAAAAACTCGGGTGATTTACTTTGATCCGCTTTTCAAAAAATTGTCTCTTCAAAGCGCATCAACAAAAATTAAAAACTGGAAGACGAGGCTGTAGCTAACTACCTGACGTCGGCACGCTTTGTTGAAATTCGTAGAAATAACGAAGCAGGAGGAAATTACAAGCAAACGCACCGAGCAGCCTCGCAAAATCTGGTCACAGCAGTTTGGGAAGAAAMTGGCAGCAGCTGCTGACGACATGTCAACATCCCTAAAATCTACCAAGTACTTTGTCTAGAGGACTTTGAAAATTTTAAATCAAGAAAATACTCTCATTATCTAATGATGCCATAAAGACACAAAATGTTACACAATCTATTTTCAACGGCCCATTAAATATCAAACAAACATTTGGTTAATTCAAACAAACTTTAAACAATTTATATCCAGCAATCAATTCATGACAAAAGTCACAGATCAGAAATGTTTGGGCCACAGCCTTCTGAGSAATTAGCTCTGTGGCTGCTTTAACTGCAGCACCATCACAGACGCACCAAAGTCCAGAACATTATTGTTGTTGTTTGAAAAGTTTGTTTCCTTCCCGGCTGCCTCTCTGGTGTTTGTAAATGTCAGTTTTGCACAGATTTTTTCCCATGTCTGGTTGGCACCATCCACAGTAATCAAGTGTTGTGCACCATGTTTTTTGGTCCCCATGTCATCAGGTTATCACAGTTATCACAGAATGGTTCCTACACTCTCACCTCCAAGCTTGACTTGACAGTGATAAATGCATTGACTAAGTGTTCTGCATCATTCTGGTCCCGAAATTATATAAAAACTGTTTTTTTAATCACTTATATGTCTGAGTTCTGATGAGCGTTAGGAGGAGAGATCAATTCTATATTTTTTTCTCTATATCAGTTTTCGGTAAAATTCAGAACTGAAAATCGTACTTATAACACACAAAGCATTAAACAAACAAGCTCCATCTAATATTAAAGATCTCATTATTTCAACAGAGAACTTTGCTCTCAGACTGCAGGTTYACTTGTGGTTCATAGAGTTGCTAAAATAGGACGCAGAGCTTTTCTCTTGTGGAACRTTTTTCAGTTTCTATGTGTGAAGCTGACCATGAAGATTTGCCTCTGATAAATCCTATAGTTAGAGCTGGCTCGGGTTTCCTGAGCTACCCTTTAGTTTAGTCATCTAGCTAGCTAGAAACTAAATGTTCACAGTGTTTAGTCTGCCTTGAAGGATTTTAATATGTCATCACTACAACATATTGCACAAAGCTAAATATGAGGATTTACTGAAGTTGTAGTACATAAACAACAGCAACTTTTTACCAGAACCACTCAGGAGTCTGTACTCAAGGTGTCTTATGTCGCTGCACTTCAGCTTGCTTAAGTGTTTAGTTTTTGTTTGTGTCAAATGTTTTATATTAAGAGGGTACACAGATATACAAGGATTTAAGCATGAAGTTACTTTCCTGTATGCTGGTTTATTAAACATATATATGCATAAACATTATTAAAATGGCCATTTTGTTACATATTGGTAAGTGTGCAGCGCTATGTGGCCCTCAGGTTGTGTCAACCAAAACATTTGGTCCCTTCCATCCTAAAGTGTGACAGTGTTGGTACCAATGAAAAAACGGCATGTTTTCACTGTTTTTTTGTCTGACCTCCGCAGATGCAGAACCACCGATGTTTTCCTCCTCCTCTCTGTCTTACAGTACACTCCAACAGAGGCACGCTGTGGGAGAAAAATAAGTCTCATTCTGCTGCCTGTGTTTCATTTTCTCCACCAGTCTGACRGCTCGTCTGGAGAGTCTGCTGGTGTGTCGTGACTCAATGTGATCTGCAGGGAAAAGCTTCAGGTCTGATTATGTTCAAGCACAACCGTGATGCCTGCTCAGTATGATCTGGATTCTGTGATTTTTATGTGTTTGTGTGTGTCCTCCTTGTTTCTTTAATCAGAGAGCGAGTGAAGCAGAACGGTGCAAAGGTTTGACTCAGGAGGAGTTTCTGCCTGGCTCTAGGCTGGCACTCTTACCGCCTAAATAACAAGCTCCGGATGTTTTCTGGTTATTGTTGTTTTTTTTTTTTTCTGTCTGTACACAGAGGATGGATTATTGTGAGTATCTCTTCATCTTACTGTAATCATCTCCTCTCACATTACCACCA